TCAATGGGTAGCAGTGCTGATTTGGACTTCACCCGTTCTCCACAGTCGCTGTTGTTACGCCTTATTAGAATAGAAATGACAGCTAAAACGTCTCTTCTCTTTAGACATAATGAAAACTTAGGGCTGTGCTCAGTAATATGTTGATGTCCTCCTAAACGTAACTACTAAGTACCATAAAATATCTGTACTCTCAGAGTGAATACTAAGCTTTATTAAAACCAGTGATTCCCAACCTTTTCTTCCCCAGTAGCTCTGACAAATACGAGCTGCTTCTGCTGCCCCGTCCCCTGACTGGGGGCCACACATGCACTCAGCCTTTCGTCACGTTGTGCAGGTCCCAAGGGCCCGCCTGGTGACTCCGTGGGCCCCTCCACAGCCCACCCCGTCTCTGTGCCGTCACACGTGGGCACCGTGAGAACTGCTGATTTAAAGGACGTGAGATAGTCACGGGGGGGAGGGGCGGGGGGGGAGCGTGGGAACCGCTGAGCGCACTTCAAGTTGAAATGCGGTGCCCCTTCAACTCGGCCGTGCTGAGGTGACACCGGACTTGACTGATGGGAATCAGGACGAGCTGAACGCCGCACGGCTCAGTTGCACGAAGATGATGACGAGCTTCACCGCTGTCCCTGCCAACGGTGCTGGCGTAAACGAATGAGCCCGGAACCGTCACTGCAGGCCGGTGTACGGAGGAGGCGAGGGACCGTGTCTTTGATAAACACACTTCCCCTGGGTTTGAGGACGTGTCTCCTCCGGGTGCTACAAAACTTGATTTGTTGAGCGATCATGATATTTAATATTCTGAAATAACTGAAAATAGTAAAAGTGGTAAAAGGCCTAAAAGCAATATCAAATTTAACAATAAAAATCTGCAGAATACAGTCTTTTTTTTTAAAGCTTTATTGAGGTATAATTTACCTATCAAAATGCATCATTTTAAGGTTATGAATGATTTAGCTGATTTTTAAAAATCAATTCAGTGATTTTCAGCAAATTTCTGGAGTTGTGCAAGTTAGTGCTGGAGCGTTTGCATCTCCCCAGAAAATGCCCCCGTGCCGGAACACTGCCCCCCCCTCGCTCTCACTCCCCGCCCAGGTGCCCGCCGGGCTGCGCTCTGTCCCTGCAGCAGGTCTGCCGGTTCCTAGGCCTTCGCACCTGGCTGCCGCTTCACTTAGCGTAGTGAGTTCGGGCATTTATTTTGAGTGCCGCATCTATCAGTGCCTTCTTCCTTTTCACTGCCGAACGGCATCCCAGCATATGGATCTGCCACGTTTTGATTACTTTCTGTCGTGTGATCTTTCACAGTGCTCATGGCTTCGCTGCATCCACCCCGCCCCTGACCCCCGGCCTGGTCTTCCCCCAGGTCAGGTGGCTTTCCTGGATTTGATCCTCCAGGCTCCGGATGGGGCCACTTGCACGTCCTCACCCATCACACCTCAGGGACTCCAAGCGTCAGCCCCTGGGGTGGGGAGTGAGCCTTCTTAGAATATGAAGTCGTGACCACGAGTCCAGCTTATTGGATTAAGGATTTTGATTTCGGGAACCAGTATAGGTTTTGAAATACCCTGCGAGAAACAGAAATGGAACGGAGTTGAATATTTATGAACGCAGCCTAAGAGTTCTCTGGCTAAGCCAACCGTAATCTGTAAACAGCACATACATAGGAATGTGCCTAAAAGCTTCTTACAGAAAATACACAAGCATGTGGGGAAAAGTAAGTCACCCGTGACTCTGTGTCTCGGAACCTCTGTCCAGCGTGTTGGTGTGCATCCTCCTAGCCCTAATTTATGTGCAGACGCACACGGTACGGGGTTTGGGTTTCTTGGGTTTCTTTGTTAAGGTCGCTTTCTGTAATGCCCATTTCCACCATGTCACCAACACTTCTGAACACACAGAGGTGGCGTGAGGGAAACGTGGTGGGGAGTTCAGAAAGACAGGCCTTCGGTGTCGCTTACGGCCGCAAAGGCCATTGTGAGGAACTGGGAATTGATTCCAAGCGTAAGGGACAGCGTTAGACCCCTGAGCGGGGAAGTGTTTGGCGCGCCGTGCGTTTTGAGGCTGCGCTCCGGCCCTAGCGTGAAGACCGTAGCGCAGGTGTCGCGGGGACCGAGAGAGGGGGCGGGGAGGCTGGCTCAGAGGCTGTGGTCGTGTCTGGGCCAGAGGCGATGGCAGCTGGGCCTGGGGGCACCTTTCAAAATGGTGACGAGAGGCTGGGTGTGAAAGCATTCTGAAAAGGGTCCCTAGGATTTGTCGGTGGACCGGATGTGCTGGGAGACAGAAACAATCAAGGGCGACTCCAGGTTTTCTGTATGTTGAATAACCAGGTGGATGGCGAAGCCATTTCCAGAGATGGAGGGGGTTCCAGGGTGGAAGAAGGCATGGGAGATTAGGAGCTCGGCTTGGACGTGACAAATTTAAAGTGCCTCACATTCGGCTGGTTCCATGGGAGCTTGGGGAAGTTTTTTGGCTGTAGGATGAGAGACATGGCGCGCCTGTGTGGTGGAAGAGATGCCCCCTCTGGAGAGGGAGGGGGTAGCTGCAGAAGGAAAGCCCTGAGTGGGAAAGTGGGAGTGGGACCCGGAACGGAAGGGGAGGGGTTTGTGTGAGGCGGTGTCGGGTGCAGGCGGGGTTGGGGGGGGCAGGTCTGGACCTGGACGTGGGCGCGTTAGCCGGTGTGAGGCGAGAGGGTCTCTCTCTCTGCTCTCTCAGTGTTTTCTCAGTAAAACCAGTCAGGTCACCTCCGCAGAGGGGAGGAAGACGACAGAACCTGGAGAAGGCAGGACTGGACGTGCTCTGACCGGGAGACAGAGCACCCTAACTCGCGGGTGTGCGGTCAGGGCCGACGGGTCGACAGGAAGCGAGTTGCATCTGCGCCCGAGTGTGAAGTGAGCCCCCCCCACCCCAGAGCAGCAGCCGCCTGTGGTGGTCCCTGCACGTCCATGTGGCCGGGGCCTCCTGTCCCTCCCACGGGTCCGGCCGCCACTCCCGATGCCAGCACGACAGCCGTCCTCCTGCCTCCATGTCCTGTAGGCTGGTTGTACTTCATGGTGGTAGAGACTCCCAGTTTCTTTAACCATTTCGGGATTTTTTTAAGCATTTAATTTTGATTATATGTTTATGGTTTCTGTTTTAGGGGAGTCTGATTTTAGTCCTGATTTAATCTGCCAAGATAACATAACAGAGAAGTTTCTCTGATTTCCTCTCATTATACCTGACTGGCTTTAATAGTTCATTTAACAAATATTAATTGAAGGCCTGCCAGGCCTTGCAGTGGCCCCGAGCGGCGCCGTGGGGAGGGAAAGACAGATGGTCACCCCGTCCCTGGCCCTGGCGGTCGGGGGCAGAGGGCACAAGTCCGGGATCCTGTTGCCTTACTTTTATAGTGAAAGCAGAAGTTTCAAAAATCTTTCTTAATGTTACTACTTGTTTAGCAATTAAGGATCGGATTTCATTGTTTTCTTTTTAGGTCAGGAGTCCTGCCCTAGACCAGACCCCGATTTGTGACATAACTAGCTCTGGTTTCTGGTTTTTATTAGCCGACTCTTCCTATCTCCTTTGACTTTTCTTTATAAGATGAACCTAGGGAAACATCCCAGATAAGCAAACCTAACCGGCGCCTTCCCAAGGGCGAGCTGAGCAAACCAGCACTTTCCCGTTGGGGCTCTGGCTTAAAGACTGTAACGGCACCAGACACAAACACCAAACCTGCTCGGAGTGAGGGGCCCTCTCTCCTGGCCCAGGACGCGGAGGGGGCCCAGCGGCGGGGGTCTGCCTGTGGGCCGCCACCCGACAGCGCGCAGAGCGCAGCTTGGTCGGGCCTGGGCCAGCCACTGACGTTTGGGTTGGAGCTACTGAAAAGGCGGGAGGGGGACCTGCTAGCCTCCTCTCCCTTTTCCCTTAGTCTCCCAGGGGCTCTAGGTAGTCAGCCTGTTTAACTGGCACCCAGCAATCACCCTGTCACCTGTGGGAAGACACGTCCCCTGGGGCCTGACCCGGGGGCCACTCCTGGGAAGAGGCTTCTGTCGCCAGCACCATGGCTGTCTGCTGCGGGGGGAGGCCAGGAGAGGGAAGCAAATGGGGCCCCCTCCAGCCAGCCGGCCCGGCTCCAGGCCTGCTCACTCGTTGTCCCTCCTTCCCCGAAGGTGTCAAGCAGGCGAACCTGTCACAAAGGCAGACAGCTAAATGTAACTCTGGGCAGCACTGTAAATAAACAACGCGCCAGTCTGCACCAGTGTCGGTGCGGGAAGCGGCTGCTTTATTATGTGTCTGTCAGCTCTGCACCCTCAGTTTCTCCCAAGGCTTCTCCGTTTATCATCAGACCATGTTGTGTGCAGACAGTACAGTTTCTGTGTTTAAAGAGACCGACTGAACGTTTACCGTCGCTGATAGACAAGAAACGCGGCGGGGTAGCTTTCGGACTATTCATTATTCTCCTGTCTGTTTCCAAAGGGCAGGGAGACAGTCTCTTTGACTCTGAGATTAATAAAGAGATGTGGGCTCTTCTTCCCCCTTTGCGTAGATTCTTTGACTAAAGCCTTTGACTTTGCTGAACTTGAGTTTGAGCAACATTCTTCCTTGGCGACGCCGGCGGTGCTGCCGGCGTTCTTCTCACTGACGTCAGCGTGCGGAACGGCACGCTCCGAAATGTCAGAGTGCCTCGCCTGTGGGCATGTCGAGTCTGGACGTGACTCAGGGCCCAGGACTTAGGGAAACTTTTCTTTGTTTTTCTAAAAGCTGGATTTTGAAATTCAGTTCTATTGGTCACAAAGACACAGTCACTGCTCATACCAATCAGACATTCTCATAACATGCTACAGTTTTACTTATGTTCATCACTGTTTCTTTAACAAACGTGTTTTTAACATTTCAATACCTCTTTCAAGGTCACTGGCATCCTTTGGAAGTCTGTGCCTTTGCATGCACATTGAGAAACGTTTAGAGGGACCTTAGGCTTGCCCTCAGGTGTGTCCTGTCTGCCCATAACCTTTGTCTCTCCTTCGCAGCATCAGCCACTACGTGATTGTCATGTCCATGACCACTGTCCTCATGTTCCTCAACGCCCTGGCCCAGCAGCTCACGACCAGAAAACTCAGACTGTGTGGCAAACCCAAAAGCCACCTCATCTGATGGCGCTGAAGCCGCCCTCCAGCATCTGGACCCTGCCTGTCCGTGTCCTCTCCCGCTGGAGGCTCGCCGAGGACGCAGCAGCAGGACGGGAACTGCCGTGCGCCGTGCTCCGCTCCTGCAAAGACAATCGCATGTGGAAGCAGGAGCTCACGGGTTGTCTGGAATAAAGGAGCTTCCGTTTTCTTTCGCTTCTGCGTGCACCGGGGAGTGATGGTGTCTGCGGGAAAGCTCTCTCCGTTTTCATTTTGCCCTGAGCTGGCAGCCCTCCTCCCTGACGTTTCTGAGCACCTGCCACAATCACCCCCAACTGCGCGGCTCCCTGTGTGCGCAGAGCAGAAGGCTCCTGGGGGCATTTCTGGTCACGTTCAAAGTCAAGTGACCAGCTGAACTGGAGGGACGTCCCCAGGTGGCACCGTAAATCCTTACCAAGTCTCAGGACTGGTTTTGCCAGAGGTTCGGACCACTAAACACTCACTAGAAAGCCCCCCAGGAGGCGTTGTTCAGGTTCACAGAGGCCCCTGGAGAGACACATGTTTGCAGTTGCTGGTCATCTTCAGGCCGCAACATGTATCTCAGTGCTGTTTCTAGGGTTTTCGTGGCCGGCCACCTACATGCAGGTTTGACCTTTCCTTTTTTCATTTCTGGATTCTCATGAAATTTCTGGGAATACAAAAGTAAAAAAAGCTTGGTATCTTGTCTGGGAGCAGAAGAAAAACAAATTAAAAGGATTCGTTTTAAAAGGACTTTGAGAACCTGCCTCCTGAAAGGTCAGCATACTTCAGAGATGTCCTCACGTACTTTTCCACGTAACTCCTCACTCTGTCACGGGAGGAGGGTGTTGGGTGCGTCATTGAATCTTACCTTCCCGAGAGCTGCAAATGTGTTTAAATTGTACATTCAGTTTCTGTAACCTCCATAGCTTCTATTAGGCATTGTTTTTACATAGTTCTTTATTTTTTTATTTATTTTTTAGAAACCAGAGTTTATTTAGAAAGTTACAGAGGTAATAGAAGTGAGCCCGCTGAGCTGTGTGGGCTCAGGCAGCCCGAAGGCCTGAAGTCCTCTCATGAAATTTCATTCCTATTTGTAAACTAATTCATATGGGCAGAATATTTGGAAAGTAACTTTTCTTTGACTTTTTCATCAAGTGACCTTTACCGTCACTATAGCATTGGCCTTGTGCCCGGGGCGTGCCCGTGGACTGTGACTGATGCTCAGCCGCACTGGTCTGAGTCCCACTGCAAAAAAAAAACAATTGCTTTTGAATTAGGTTATAGTATTTCTAACTCATGTTAATGACATGGAAGCCCTCTGCAAATGACTACATTTTTCAGATTGTCAGGGTAGTGAACAAATGCAATTTCTTTTCTTTGCTTTTTATGTATGTATGTATGTATGTATTGTTGACACTATTACAGATGTCCCCCATGTTTTCCCCTCTTACCCTGCAACAAATACAATTTACAAGATTCAAAAATCAATTTGGCAGTATGGACTTTTTAAATTTCTATTTATGATGAAATATAATTATAATTCACTTGTAATAGTTCTTTGTGGTATACCAGCAAAAGCATTATGGTATGAAAAAAAAAGAAAGACGTATCCATCTCAGTGTGAGACCTCACGCAGCAGTCTGCGACACGAAACAGGTGGGCCGCCGAGAGGCTGCTGTGGCGGGCAGGGACACTGGCGGAGAACCCTTGACCCTGCTCATCGCCTCAAAGGATTTGGGGTCAGTTTTTTTCACAAGCCAGAGACAATGACTTTAGGAATGCTTTTTTAACTCCCTTTAGATCAGTTTTGCCTTTCATCGTTTCCCAAATTTTCACCCAGAAGAACTGATGGATATTTCATTACAGCGCTGTCAAAGGTGCCCGGTGCTTTATCCTTACTTTGCTCCGCAGATGTTGTTCTGAGTCCGTGCGCGTTTACGGAACCAACGGGTCAGCGCCTGCAGCTGGGGGCCGGCCTTGCCGCTGCGCCCGGGCCCCGCAGAGTCACCTGGACGGCTCGGGGGCCTTCCCTGTTGCTCAGCTCACCAAACACCTTACAGTGTTTTAAAATGCTTGTTTTTGTATTGAGTAACAGAAAAAAAAAATAAAGAGGATTTAAGTAAAACATTTCTGTTTAAGGCATTTACTTTGTCATCCTGACTATGAATACCAGATTTCCAAATGAAGACTTAGCACATTCACTGAATCACATGGTTTAAAATAGGAATTGCTGTAATAACTGAAGTGGGCATCTGGCATGTCAAGTTAAGAAAACAAAAAAAAAAAAAGCCTTGTTATGCCACATGGACCGGGAATAAACCTTGGACGAACAAAACCCTCAGGACTTAGGGAAGTAACTGCAGCCTGTCTGTAATTTACCAAATAGTTGTCATAGTACGAAGGGTTTCCCGGTCAAACATTGGAGCCGCACCTCGTCAAAGTTCAACAGGTGTATTTATCGCAGTACTTAGGAGTTTAGCTTGGTATGGGCGTTGTGGAGGGAGGGAGGTAGGTAGCAGGGTGCTGGAAATGTCCACTGGCCTGACCACAGGACCTGTCTCAGAGTCTCCCTCCTGAAAGGTCAGCATACTTCAGAGATGTCCCCGCGTACTTTTGCACGTAACTCCTCACTCTGTCACGGGAAGAGGGTGTTGGGTGCTTGACTGAATCTTGTTTTCCCGAGAGCTGGAAAACCATTTTCATCTTTACCCTTAATGTGGGAAAACTTGAATATGCACCAGCAATTTTCCTTGCCTCCGTTATACACGACGCCTGTCATCCTTCGGTCATTCCCGCGGGGACCTCCGATGCTACCCGGTGGTCATCCCTGGCATCACACAGCAGCCGCAGCCCCGTCAGAGTGGGGGCTGTCTTCATACTTCTACACCCTTCACCAGAAAAGTAAATTCACAACCAGTATTGCCTTGTTTTCTCGTGACTCGCTTCTAGAGATGGGGATTCCCAGTTGAGTTTTTGTGCATCCCTTGGTTCTCTGTTTCACTCACTTCTCTCTGCCCCTGTTTCCTCCCCCTCGGGTCCCTCCTCCCCCTTAGCCATGCTAGAACTGGTCCGTAGGTGAATGTCTTCGTCTTCATGAAGCAGGCACCGTCAGTTCTCAAGTTCAGGGCTGGGACGGTGTGAGTGCATGGCGTTCAGCTGGGCCAGCGTCTGCGTGGGGTCGGTTCTGCAGGCCCATGCCGTGTCTCTGACGGGTGCCCACGGGTGTTTCATTGGGTCCCTCACAACCGCTGACTAGTTGAGGGGTGCACATCTGACCCAACCCTGTCCAGCCGGAGATCTTGGCAAGATTTTCAAGCTGGAACAAAAAATTTCTGAGATGGAGGAGCCATTGATGACTCAGTTAGATTGAGATACTCCAGTCCCCTTCCATCACATACTTGGCCAATAAAGAGAGGGTTCATTTCATTGGTATGTCTAAGACCACAGGACAACGACGAGCCCAGAGCTCAACTGAAAATGTTTGTCGTGTATGCTTTTAAATTGGAATCAGCGGGACAGAACGGCTCAGGACGTTCCTTGCAGGTCCCGTGGCCACCTCCTCTGTTGCCCATTTTCCCTTGGTTCCTTCCCACTTGTCTGTACCCCTCCCCAGGTATTCCACAAGTCATTCCATTCATTTAGGGAATGAATGCATTCCCTAAAAAATTTGGTCAGCATCTCCATTACTTGCCATCAAGACCTTTACTTAATGTGCACACTTTGAATGTGTAAATACATCACTTCGATGTTTACTGCAATTTCTCATTCTGGTTTTAAGTATTTGTGATAACACATACAGACCTCATGATGTGCCAGGCATTGTTCTGAATGCTTAGCCAGTACTAACCGATTCAATCCTCCTAACGAACCTGTGAGGCAGGTTATACCATTTTGCAGATGGGAAGACTGAATCACAGAATAATTTTAAAGAACTTGCCCAAGACCCCACCACTAGCATGAGATTTTTTTCTTTTTATACATGGATAGTTTCCCCCTAAACACTATTCTGAAAGGTACATAAAAACATTTGTAGATTTTTGCTTCTGAAAGTGTAGTCACTTTGCCTAAGCATCTGATGTGAACACTAGCCTTTTCAGTGGTGTGCAGATAGATAACCAGTGTAAATCGTATGATTAGGAAAATATGCTTTTGTGGTTGCCTACGCGTGTGCAAATGGCATGGGGCACGCTGGCACCAGATCCACAACATTCACTTGGAGGCATGTGTCAGCTCTCTCCCAAATGGTGTGTAAAGCAAAAAGAGTTTCCTCCCTTTTCAAAGGAAGGAAGTGAATATCAGCTGTCGATTCTTTAAGCCCTTGAAGTGTCATAAAGACCTAGAAGTCTAGAGTACTCTTAGTATAGTGGGTTGAATTGTGGCTTCCAAAGGGTATGTCCACACCCTCACCCCAGAACCTGTGAACTTGACCTTATTTGGGAAAAGGGTCATTGCAGATGATATAAGTAAGTTAAAGATCTTGACATGAGATTGTCCTGGAGTGTCCAGGGAGCCATACGCTCAGTGGCAGGTGTCCTTAGAAGAGACGGGAGGAGGAGGAGGCCAGGTGAAGGCAGAGGCACAGGGGGAGTGGTGCGGCCACAAGTTGCCAAGGAATCTGGAGCCTCCAGAAACCGGAAGAGGCCAGAAGGATCCTCCCCCAGGAACACGGCCCTGCCAACACCTCGACTTAGGACTTCTGTCCTCCAGCACCGTGAGAAGCTGAACTTCCGTTGTAGATATCCCGTTCGTGATCACTTGTTACGACACTTCTAGGAGACATCCATCTGGGGAGGGGAATTCTACAGAATCATCAGCGACGTTTCTGACTGCGTGGCTAACCCGTAACTTACCAGGTCACGAGTCTGAGGACCGTAGTCCACCCCGCTATGAACAGACAGACACTAGCACGTAACCCTGGAGGTGGCATTAATTTCTCTTTAATGCCAAGATTGCTGATGCTTTGGCTTTTCTGAAACATTCCTGCCATGCTTTATTGGGGGTTTTTTGGAAGTGGTAAGGAGATCCTCAGACTTTCTTTTTCCCTTGAATGTTTTTGGTGTTTATGTGAAGGGACTGGATGGAAATGAGAAAGCCGAAAGCTTGTGTTAAGTCTGGCTGTCCTTTAAGTGTTGTCCCGAGGGGCCTGTGGCCAGATGCTGAATGGGGGGGGATCCCCCACAGGAGCCCCCCACCCACATCCACGCTTGTCTTGGTCCAGACTTGACATAAACGAGACATGCCGCCACGTGCCCCTGGCAGGGCCTGGCCCCGTCCCAGGGAACCCAGGGTCAAGGCTTCCCGGTGAAGCCACGAGTCTTGTATCATGTTGGCGGACTTGGTGCTTTCCGAGGTCTTCTCCCCGGCCAGTCTGATGGCGGAGCTGCTGTCCAGGACCTCGGTGCCGACCACGCTCCCTGGGGTCAGAGGCGGAAGAATAATGAGGTGGGAGCCTTTGGCCATCCCCTGGGTCCCCTGCATTTGAGAGCTTGTGTGGCTGGAGGTTCACGGGCCCCCTTCATTCATCTAGTGGACCCACTCCCCCAGGGGGCTGCCAAGTTGTCCCCCAGGCTGCTGAGGCTGGGATCCGGCTTCATGAGTTCGGCCCCGTGCGGTGACCTGCACTGTCGTTGTGTTGGATGTTTAATGAAACGCCAGCCAGTACATTTCCTGCAGAGGACGCTGCTCCCTTCCCAGTCCTGGTTGCCCCCACCCCTTCTCACCACTCAGCTTTGACCGGGACTTTGAGGCTCTGGCCTTGCTCTTGATAATGTCCAGGGGTGCAGCAGTCCCCAAAGGTAACACCCCATTTCCCACCTCATCACATTCACCTTTTCCAGACAGAGCCAGTTCAACTGGCTGTCCACAAAGCACGTGCATTTTCCTTCTAGAAAAGTCACTTCCTTTCATGCATTTATCTACCCAACCATCCTCCCCTCCCCCCTCCCTCTCCTTCTGCCTTCGCTGAGCCCTTGCGTGTCCTCCCCGAGGCTAGTTTAAGGAACCTGAAATGCTAGAGATCCTACCCCCCCCCCCCCTCCATTTACAGTCACCTCCTTGGGCTTGGCAGGTGGGCAGAGAGGGCAGTGAGGGTATGGGGAGAAAGAAGGAAAACATGCTTGAGTCCGAAGGCTGCTCTGGATCCGTTTACTCAAAAGGGCCAGAGAAAAAGGAAAAATGGCCTCAGGCCACCAGGAGAGCAAAACATTCCTCTCCTCCCTCAGGCGCTTCCTACTGCCCCTTCCTGTCCGGTCAACAAGGAGGGACCGCGGGGGAGCACACCGCGGGGGAACACACCATGGGGGAATGATACAAACATGCAGGCGGCCCATGGACGTGACCTTGGCTGGGCCACCGGCAGCCCCCATGGGCCCCCTCTGTGGCTTGTCCCTGCCTGCGGTGCCTGAGCTCTTTCTTCATGGCCCTTGCCTCCGGCGACCGAGTCACAGAGCTGAGTCACATCTGTGCTGCTGTCGCCTGGAGAGAGATGAGGGAGCTGGTCCCTTGGTCCAGAGGCAAGCACGTGGGCTTGCTTTTTCAGGAACGAGGTACGCTGCAGTCAACAAAGACAGTTCTCCCCTCTCCCTCTGGGGGTCCCTGCCTTACTCGGGGAGCAAACCTGAGACCTTGGCCTTGCCTGCTCCGTATTCTAAGGAGCTAAGAGAACAGGATCAGGCAGTGGCTGTAAAAGGGACAGTGACAATGCCAGTGACTTGATAGGTTTTCATGGAGCTCGTTTTCAAAATGGCCTGTTGTTCAGAATTGTTGTCCTTTCCTGCACAATGCTTTTCCGTTTGAATCTTTAGAATCATGACTTGCTTCTAAAACTTCTAAGCAGAAAATATCTGAAGCTTTGTCAAGGCTATTTTTTTGCCGGCTACTACCACCCAAATAATGTCAAGTCCTTGAATTCCTTCCATTTCTTTCTAGAGCAGAAGGCCCGGCTGTTCTAAGCCTGTCCCTAAGGTGGTTTGACTTACTCTTCCAGAGCTGCTGACACCTCAGGAGGAGGATGCAGTCAGGGCCCTGCCTCTGCTGGCCCGGCGCTGCCGTGAATCTCTGCTGTCACAACTGGCCAAGAGAGACCCCCCTCCCCCAGGAGGACCAGGGACACACAGGCATGCAGCACC